CCTCGCTGTAATGCCCTTCCATTTGTATATGTGTTTTGCTTTGTCCTTCTTTATTATGCAACCCACTCCTTCCCTAGCTCTGTTACTATGTTGCACTCCGCTGTATATGAAGAGATGTCCACTATCTAGTACTATCTCTCCAGTTCCTTTCTTCTTAGTTTCAGTTATTCCTAAAATGTCTAAATCTGCTTTCTCAAATTCCTCCTCTAATTCTTTTTCCTTATCCATTATGCTTCTAACGTTCCAAGTACCAATTTTTAGAATGTAATAATTGTCCGTGCCTTTTGATTCGTTTGCCGATTCCATTGCCTTGTCCGTCGTTATGTTCCTGCTCCCTGGAGATCCTACCCGTTTTTTGTCTGAGCGTCCTCTTCGACAAGCCGATCTAGTTGTAGATCCCACCTCCAATTCTTACCGTTAATAGTCATTCTTTGGTAACTGGTCCTTACACGATTTCCTTTCTGTCTTTCCTCTCTTGCTCTGTTCCTGATTTCCGATTGTATTCTCCCTTCCTCTTTGGTAAGGTCGTTTTCTATGTAGATTTTTGCTTGGCCTAAAACTTTCTTTTTTTTCATGATTTCCAGTTTATCCTCCCAATTTTCTAGTTCTACGCATAGTATTGGAAAATCATCTTTTGTTGGAATTTTTCTCACTTGCCTGATGTGGGGAGTTGCATCCAGTTTGGTGCTCAAGAATGTTTCCGTTTCTTCTTTAGCTCTTCCTGCGTTCGTTTTTAGTCCTTTTATTATTATATTGTTCTTTCTGTCTCTTTTCTCTCTGTGTTCTACAATATGCTCCAGTTTTGCTATACGGTCGCTTAATACTTTTCTTTCTTTCTGCCATTCTATTTCTTTTTGTTGGAACTCTGCCCTTAGTTTTGCAACTAATTCATTATTAATTTTGATACCTTCCATTAATTCATCTTTATTATTTTGCATATCCTCCTTTATTTCACACCTCATGGAGTTAATGAGGTCTTTTATTTCTTCCATCTCGTTCTCTGTAGGTTTTCTTTGCTCTTCCCTTGAAGGGCTACGCGAAGTTTTCTTACTCCTTTGGGATGGGTCCGGCGAAGCTTTATTTCTTTTCCTTTTATAATTGGCATCTACCGTTTCTCCAAGATCGCTACTCATTTATTTCAGCGCTGAGTTATTGTGCCTTTACCGCTAGTTACACCACTAGCTTTAATCTAAATTAGCTAATGATATTTGTACCTAACAATAAATTCCTGTCATTAAGCCTTATAATTGGTGTAGGTTTTTAGATTCAGTTTTCAAAACAAAATGCAGATCACTTAATGTGCCTAGGTTATCTTTTAGCGCGTTATTTAGAATCCGTATGCAATTATAGTACCTAATTTTCCATTGAAACTTGATGCCTTTGTAGGTAGTATTTCGCGGCCAGATTGCTGGCTTGCGTTTCACAACTCTTAATAAATTGTTACCTTATGAATTAATGATAATGTAATAATTGTAACCTAGTTCTAATTATACTATTGCGACAGCGATGTATTTGCCGCAGCTTCCTTGTTCCTCTGTTTAATATCTTTTGGTATTAAACAGCGATTCTTCACGACCGTTTTACCCAATAATTTTTTTACCCCTAAGTCATATGACGATCGGTTCTCGAGATATGGCCGAGGAACATTCTTATTGGGTCACCCGATACATCGAACACAAGTCGCGGCACCGTGTAAGCCCTTGGCCACGATATAACAGTCGGGCGGGATAGATGTCGTTGCTTCATAAGCATTAACCTATGCGTCACTTACGCTTATTCGCTCAGGCCGTTCTCCTATCCGCCACCTGGGGACGCGCGTGGTAGGGTACCACCCCTCTGGTTATGATAAACATTTGACGGAGTGGAAAGGGAAAAAGGAAGATGGGAAAATTTACAAAGGAAGAACCCTATGGAGAGACAAGGTTGAGGGTAAGAAGGGAATGTTTTGGACATATTAAGACAAGGATGCTCACTTAGCCCAACCTTATTTAATCTCCACTTAAATGACACGGAAAAAGTTTTAAGACAGGGCCAAGGTCGAGGGATAGTGGTAGGATCAAGAAAGACATGGAAAGGAAAAGAATAGAGCTAAATGTAGAAAAGTCGAAGATGATGAGGTTTGGGAAGGGGATGGAAATGAAAGGGGGAATGCAAATATTTAGGGTACCAAATGCGGGTCGGGTACAAGTCGCCGCCGCCGTCTCGCCGCGGCCAATTCGCCGCGGCCATCCGGCCGCGAACCCAATTGGCCGCGGAACCGACTTGCCGCGGACCTTCTCGCCGCAGATCATCCCTCCGCAGACGATATTATCTGACCAAATAAACAAAAAGTATTTACATATTTCAATTGTTGTTTAAGGTTTTATTTGTCCTCACTGCTGAAAGAAATTAGGTACCTATATAGGAAGCTTTCTCTAGTCCATCATTGTTCTCCTTAGCTTGATGTTATTTGCATTCCTTTATCTAAATGAATAATTAATTAGGTACATGCAGGTAAGTGGTCTATACACAAATTCTTTTGTTGTTGTTATGAATGCTAGTTTTAATCCTAATTACCTACACATTATTATACTCTATACAAAATGCAAGGGCGGTATTTGGAAAATGTCTTTTGTTTATTATTTAATTTGTTCTAAACCTGACCAACTAGTTGCAAACTGATACAACTTTGCAATCTATTGGATATAATACAAAATCCTACCTACCTTCTTTGTATTCATTCTTAGAAAATCAAGTAGTTGTTAGTTAATGGGGTGCTGCCCATTTCCTGAACTGACTTTAATCCCTTAAAAGTACCGCTTGAGTTATGTAACATCTGGGTTGCCACATTCCGACGTATGTTTAAACGTAAGGGTGTGTTTGTAAATATGCATCACTTTATTGTTGGCATTGGCACTGAGCGTAACTTAAATAAACGGCATTAAGTATACTCTGCATTTTATTATTAATCCAATACAATCTTTACGCGTGTGGTTTCACTCTACTCGAAACTTTAGTTAGGCAGTGCTTAATCGACAATGGAAAATGAAATACTCTCACAGCGTTCTCAAGCAAAGTTTTGTAGTGAAGGTTTTGTGTACGTTTTTGATAGGATGTCAAGTGATGGAAATGTTAAGTTTTGGAGATGCCAAGAACGAGGAAGGTGCAAAGCCAGATTGCATAGTGGGGAAGATGGAGTTGTTTTGAAAACTATCAATCAACATTCACACGAAGCATCCGCTGCAAAGGTAGAAGTTCAAAAAATCATTACCAGAATTAAACGTCGTGTAGCTGACACTATTGAACCCACAATACAAGTTATGAACGAATGCACTTTAGATGCATCTCAAGCAGCTCAAGGTGCACTTCCTCAATCCCAAGCGCTTAAAAAGACAGAAGGAAAAGATTGGAAATCCGTGCGGCTCCCCCAAATCCTACAAATTTGGAGCAATTAGTTATCCCAGAAGTTTATTCGGCATACGAAGTTCGACCAGGGTTTTTTGAAAATTTTTTACTTGCTGATAGTGGACCTGGCCTTAATAGAATATTGATCTTTGGAAGAAGACAAAATCTCGATGTTCTTCACCATTCCAGGGAATGGTTCGCGGATGGTACGTTTAAGATTGCTCCTTTGTTATTTAGTCAGATATATACCGTGCTAGCAACAGCTCATCAAGGAGTACACCCGATTTTCTATGCGCTTTTGCCTAATAAACAGGAGGTTACATACAGACGTATGTTTGAGCTTGTTATAGAACTGCAACCGGAACTTAATCCAGAATCAATTGCGTGCGATTTTGAAAATGCCGCTATTAGTGCAATGAAACATTGCTTTCCGAGAGCTGAAATACGCGGTTGCTTTTTCCATCTAGTGCAGAACATGCACAAAAAATTATCGCATCTTGGATTAATGCAACGATATCGGATAGAAGCAGATTTTGCATTGGCCGCTAAAATGGTTACCGCTTTACCGTTTGTTCCACACCAACACCTAGACGAAGCAATTGATATGTTGGCTAATGAACTGCCACCTGAACTTCAGCCTCTTTTAGAATGGTTTGAGGATACCTATGTTGGGCGTTTAAATCGTCGCGGAAATGGTAGACCTCCAGGCATGTTTCCTCCTCAAATGTGGAACATGTACGAACGAGTGCTACATGATCAAAATCGGACAAACAATCACGCCGAGGCAGCTCATCGACGTCTTCAAGTGGAATTAGGAGTGGAGCATCCAACGCTGTGGAAATTGATTGAGAGTCTGCGGAAAGTACAAAAAGGTATTTTTGGATAATTTGCATAGTAGTAGTCCATTTTTTTAATGATTATTTATAGGTCGTGATCTGTATTACGAACAACTTGTTGCCGGCCATGCACCACCACTAAAATTACGCAAGTACCGGGACGCAGACAGCAGAATTTTGCGAATTGTGCGTAATTACAATACCTATAATAATATTGAATTTTTAAGAGCTATTGCACATAATTATGGTATTTAGAGTGTAGTGCTTGATAGCTCATATTATGTAAATCAATAAAAATGAATTGTTTAATTTAAATATTTTCTTAAATAAATAAATTAAATTTTTAAGTTGGACGCGGTTTACCGATAAATATATTGTATATCTGCCACCGAACTTTATCTAACGTAACCGTCGAAATTGTAGGATCCTCTATCAGAATATGATATTTCGTTATTTTCGTGGCGAGTTGGATTGGGGGCGAGCTGGCTCGCGTCGAGATGGGTTTGCGGCGAACTGGCGGCGGCGAAATGTCTGCGTCGAATCGGCCGCGGCTAGTTGTCCCATCAAAGAAACAATAGGGAAAATGCACTGGTAAAAGAATTAAGGAATAAGGGAACGGTGGCGATATGAGACGTGGAGAATTGGAGAGAGGGGGTTCAAGAATGATTTTAGATATTTCGCTACAATTAACGAATTATTGAGGTCAAATTTCACAAATAAATTATAGATTGCGCTACATCTCTGTTTTTTTACATTTAGTCATGGATTGATAAGAAAACTTCAGTTTGATGATAACACTCTACGCACATGAACTTGATTTTTGTCAGATTTAACATACCTACCTACTGAAAAGCTTAAAATGAGTAAGTCCGAGAGATATATAAAGAACGTCTTACTTTCCCATAAGGACGGCAAATACTTTATCGATAAAATTAGAACATTGATAACGTGGGAAGAAGGGTGTCGTATTTTAGACGTCGGATGTGGCCCTGGAAATGTGACAAGCGATTTTCTTCTGCCCATTTTACCAAAGTCAGGTACGATAATCGCTATCGACAAGGCGGCCGAAGTGATATGCTACGCGAAGGAGCACTACGAGAAATCCCCTCACGTTAATTTCGTTCAAATGGACATCGTGTTTCCGGATCCACAGTTATACAAAACTTTCGACCATGTTATTTCGCTCTACTGCCTTCACTTCGTAGCCGAACAAGAGTAAGAGATCTGTTTCTCCTCCCAATGTACCAGATTCCGATTTCAGGATAGCGCTAAGAAACATATACAACATGTTGAAACCTGGTGGAAACTTTTTCTTTACGTGCGTGGTGCAGTACAACGCTTTCGAAACATTTGCCGCCATTAGCGGTACCGAAAAATGGAAGCCATACATTGTCGATTATAAATCATATATGTCCCCTTATCAGCAATCCAAAAATCCAAAGGATGACTTGGAGAAGATGTTGCTGGCGGCTGGGTTTGATATATCTTTTATTGTCGAAGAACCAAGGAAATATAATTACCTCATAAACGATATCAAAGGTAGGTACTAAGATCCAAATAATAGGTAGGTATCTCATTTACAAATTCTCTTTACAGAGATATTTCTTTCGTTGGATTGTATAACCATACCGCAGGATCTCGAAGATGAATTTCAAACTGACCTTCAGCGCATCATTAGAAGCTTGGGACAGATCCAAATTGAAAATGGCGATGAATTTTATTGTACGAAATGTCAGGTGTTGTTTGGGCATGTCACTAAATCAAAAAGGAGCCCGTAAAGGAGTTAAAAGAAAGTCGATAATAAGGACCTTTGGACTAATTAAACGAAAATAAAGCTTTCTCTCTGAGGATTTATTCAAAATCTTTCTGGTGCTCCCGCCCCACAAAGTGTATACGTAAAGAATAATCTGGTCAGTTTCCAGCGTCAAAAAGTTTCTGCTACGGCGCACCAATTTTGAGATATGACAACATTGTAACTCCTATTTTACCAATTAGGATTTATTTATCGATTGTGACGATTTTAGATCATAGTATGTAGTTACACATGGTAAGTAGTCCCAGGGGGCGAGCACGGGGACTACTTTCCAGTTTTGGAACTCTGCTGCGACAGAATTCGGCCGCAAGCGATATTTAAGTGTTCTTGTCTAAAAGCCCACCAGGAATGGTAAAGATCCTGTCACAGTAGGCCATGTAGCCAAAGATACAAATGTAAATAGGTCTTGCACTTCTTGTCTAGGTATCTATGAAAGTGTCCCTATGCACAGATTTGAGTTTGCAGGATCCGAGGTGGGTTCTTTCCACAGCACACGGTCTGATATATCGTAACAGTATAGTAACAAGGGCACATGGGCGTTGGGGAGTATTTTTTTTATTAGTTTGGTAATTCAAATTTAGCGTATGAAGTAGAATGTATTTGAAGTTGCGCGATTTTTGAAATTGGGCCATGAAAAAGATGGCGGGTTTCTTAAATTGTTCGGCTGTGTTTCTTCGGCGAGTGGCCCTTAAATACGGTTTTGACTGATAAATTCGTTTGAAAATTTAAGGCGCCGGTGAGTCGTGGGATATGACGTGATTGGTTTAGATTACAGTATAGTGTTCAATGTCGTATAATTATAATAAGACATTTGCAGGGCATAGGTAACTATTTACAACTTGGAAATTTGGATGTAGGTTCTTCTGAGGCGATGGCGAAAATGATTTAAGAATTGGTGATACTTGTTAACGGATATGGAATTCACCTAGTACTAGCTTCTTCTGGACAGCGGCTTGAATGTGCGTTCGTAGAGTCGTCCATTGTGCAGGACTATAATAACGTGGCGTTCGTCGGTTCCCGCACTATCGAAGATCGTAGATTTGTCGCACTATAAACCCTTGCCGTCGTCGTTTTTTGGCCGTACTATGCAAGCGCGGTTGAACCTTCTGCTCACCACGAGAGCTCGCATCGGAATGAATTTTTATTGTTTACGTTTGTGTGTGGCCTTATAAAGGCCGGCTCTATAGTAGTGTAATGGTTCTAACGGTCTCTCAAGCAGACACTGGAAACGTTGACACACCCTGTACTTACCGTTGGCAACTCTGGGAACAAAACTACGAGCAGAGCCCTAAAAGCCCACGCCATTTTGATGTTTCCTACGTACATGCAATTTATTATTTTACGAGTTGTTTTACTTAAATTGATCGTAGGTACAAATGCAATTAAAGAAATTCATAAAATAAAACCCACGAGACATCACAAATGCAGTGGAAAACATGATAAATCAATGTAGTACAAAAACACATTGAAGTACATGTACATGTACTTCAATGTGTTTTTGTACTACATTGATTTATCATGTTTTCCACTGCATTTGTGATGTCTCGTGGGATTTATTTTATGAATTTCTTTAATTGCATTTGATTCCATTACCTGATTGTTATCATACAATTTGAGATGTTTTATTTATGTATATTTTCTCATGCATTTTATTGTTGTAGGTGATTTATTTCATGTATTTGTGTGGCCTATGGTTTTTGTCCCGTAGAAGGTTTCCCTGGTATAGACTTGTCTTTTATTTATCATTCAAAAACAAAAAGCCGGGAAAGCGTGATGCTCTCCATCGACCCCGTCCGCCGTCGCTATCTTCTTCATCCCGCCACGCTCTTTTTAGCGCACTTTTTAAGAATTAAAAAAAATGTGCTATTGTTTGCGTTTTGTCCGTCCATCCGTCCGGACCCACTTCTACCGTTATGAACTACTTCTAGGATGGTCCTAGAGTCCTGGAATTTTTTTGCAGTAGGTAGCCTATACCTTGAAGGTGTGCCAGACCCTCGAATTATTTCCTGAGATGCTGTTTTTGAAAGTAAAACGTGCTTACCTTTTACATACGACAACCAATTGGTCTCTCGACCGTTTTGCGCAGATGCCGAAGACTAGCGGATTTTCATAACGAAGCTAGGGGAAAACAAGTATAAATTGTGCATAACTCTTGTGCAGATAAAGCGCATTTTTTTTAAACGAAATAACTTTTGTTTTGACCAATGGATATATTTCTAGCAGATGTCTCAATCGCCTTTTGTGAGTACCCTCTTCCAACAATCCGTTTTTGAGGTATAAGGGAATATACCCGATCACGATAAGAGGTCGAGGAGAAGGGCTATGGTTGGTAGCAATTAATTCCTTTTGTTGAAACCTTTCATTAGAGTACCATGAAGGATATAACTAATTCCACTCCTCCCCCCTTCCCCTCCACCCCGTACTTTGATAAGAGGACAGAAAGAAGGGCAGTAGTTGATAGAAATCGGTTCCTATCGTTGTGACCTTCAATTAGAATACGATGAGAGATAAAATTAATTTTTAACCTCCCCCCCCCCCTCAGGCCCCGTCGCTCACTGATCTCGAAAGAGTCGCACGGGAAAGTTTATACTTTGTACAAACCAATTTATTTTCGATGAGACCATTCATTAGAATACCATGAAGAGTAGAACATGTGTTAATCCCCCCCCCCCACGCCCTGCCCTCACCCCATTTTCTAAAGTTTAACTTCGCACCACTAAAAGCATGCGTGTGCAAAATCTGTGAGCAATTGGTTGTCGTATGTAAAAGTTATGCACGTTTTACTTTCAAAAACAGTATCTCAGGAAATAATTCGTGGAGGGGGGGAGGCCTTTTAGACGGCGTATTCTTAAAAAATGCGCTAAAAAATACAAATAATGCGCCGCAGTACCAAAATTAACCATATCCAGATTTCAAAGAGACGCCTCATTTGTGGGGCTCTAAATTTACATAGGTACTAAAAATATAACTCTTTTCACTTAGTACATAACATACTCCGCCTCTCTATTTCTCAAAATGTTATGGTCGGACGGACACAACGCAAACAATAGCATATTTTTAGCGCATTTTTTAAGGATTAAACATGTTCTATCCTTCATGGTATTCTAATGAAAGGTCTCATCGAAATAAATTGGTTTGTACAAACTATAACTTTCCCGTGCGACTCTTTTTCGAGATCAGTGTACGACGAGGCCTGCGGAGTGGGGGGAAGGGGGGGGGGTTAAAAGTTAATGTTATATCTCATTGTATTCTAATTAACGGTCTCAACGAAAGGAACCGTTTTCTACCAACTACTTCCTTTTTTTCTGTCCTCTTATCAAAGTACGTGTAGGTGGGAGAAAGGGAGAGGGGGGGGGAACTAGTTTTATCCTTCATGGTACTCTAATGAAAGGTCTCAACGAAACGAAATAATTTCTATTAACCATAGCCCTCCTCCTCGACCTCTTATCGTGATCGGGTGTATTCCCTTATACCTCAAGAACGGATTGTCGGAAGAGGGTACTCACAAAGGGCGATTGAGACGTATCAAAAATGCGCTTTATCTGCACAAAAGTTGGGCACAATTTATACTTGTTTTTTATTTATTTTATTTAAATAAAAAAAATAATAGAGATAGTTTCAGTGACTTATTTATTTCTCGTGTGGATACTTACGAAGATAAATTGTTCGTAAAGTAAAGTCCGAATGTTATAGAAAATAAAATAATCACAATGCTTTGGAGCATCGAATGAGCTATAAATATTGGAAATCCATATCGCGAAATAAAAAGTTATGATAGTTCAAAGCAGCGTTGGACTGGGTCAAGCATAGAGTGACCCAGTGACCCAGTTAGTTTACTGACCCAGTGACCCGGTGACCCAGTTGACCCGGTGACCCAGCTTGACCCGGTGACCCAGCTTGACCCAGTTTGACCCGGTGACCCAGCTTGACCCGGTGACCCAGCTTGACCTGGTGACCCAGCTTGACCCGGTGACCCAGCTTGACCCGGTGACCCAGTTTGACCCAGTTTGACCCTGTAGCCCAGCTTGACCCAGTGACCCATCTTGACCCAGCTTTACTCAGTGACCCGTCTTGACCCGGTGGCCCAGTAATTAAATTATTGTTAGGTATCATCCAAAACAATTTCAAGTAACTTTCAATTTAAAAAAAAACTTCCTCAATAATATTCGCCGACAAGCACGTAGCCCAATTTCATTCAAGAGAACTAATACCTAAAAAAATCAAATGCATTTGTTTATAGTTTGTAGTCATGTAATCAATGAAAGTATTTAGAGAAAAGATTTATTTGGATTAAGCTAACTAGTAGAAAAAAATTAAATGTGAATGAATACCTGTAAGCAAACTGGTAAGCCCTGAAGCAAAGAAATGAAGGAGGGAACTGTTTAGAAATAACATTATTCTAATACAATTCGGGACATGGAAACTTTTTTACGGCAGTATTAAAGCAAACATCACAGAAATGGCAGTTGTCAAGCAATCGAGTATTATTTATTTTCAACAAACCAGCATTTCATTTATTTCATAATCTGTACACTTGAACCGAGGGCACTGACTTAACTGCGTTATTCGATCAAACTAGGCGACTGGGTCGAATTGGGTCCCCGGGTGAAATTGGGTCGCTGGGTCAAACTGGGTCACTGGGTCAAGTTGGGTCACTGGGTCAAACTGGGTCACTGGGTCAAACTGGGTCACTGGGTCTAACTGAAAAGAGTATGACGTGACCCAGCGACCCAGTTTAATTTAGTGACCCAGGTGACCCAGTCCAACTCTGGTTCAAAGTGCGCACACGAATTTTGGAAGTTGACGGTCATTTTTCTAAAAACTGTGCATAACAAGGTACGTAAATATGAGTGCTTCAGATTCTGCTAAAAATGTACTGTCACTTACAAAAGGAATTATTGATGTATATCGCTTAGTTGCTGAGAAAATAAATACTTTCGGTGGTCTAGTCGCGCGCGCGAAAATGAGTAAATTTCAACTTTAGCGGCCTATAACTTTTGTCAGGACCACGGGAAAATGTAAAGCGAGATTCTG